AGAATATTTTTTCAGATTTTTTTGATTTTTTTAATAATGAACTGCGGTTTCAAGCCGACTCGGCGATTCTATTTGTTCAAATTATTTCTGACAGTTAGTTCTCAATGGTTTGATTAAAAGATGTGATCGTTGGCGGTTTCGAATCCAAACCAACCTACTGCAAACTGTTTACAAAAAAAAATGTACTGTTGAATCTCCAATGGTAAAAAAGATCCAACGATTCAGATTTAATTTGAAGCCAAGTCTTGTATCTAACCTACCTAGCCCGACCTGGAATCTATACTTATATTAAAAGGTATACCATTTACCAAATTTAGTATAAAGGAAAGTCAACAACATTTATTGCATTACTATTTCCGTATTATATAATCTATACTTATATAAAAGGAGATTCTATTTACTACATTTACTATCCAGAAAAGTCAACTGCATTAAATGTCATTACTATTTTGGTATTATAATATTTTATTTATTTAATTGATTTATTTATTTGCTTTATTTTAAAAGGTAAGTATAATAAAAAGATTTTAATAATAAAAAAATCAAATACCAAATAAAAATATACACTTTGACTTATTTGATTATAGTTGGTATTTAATTATACCAAATATATTCCTATTTAGTATATACATTAAATACTTAATAAAGTATTTATTTGTTTTATTTGTCAAAGTTAAGTATAGATTTGTTTATATTATCAAATCATAAAAAAAATATTAAATCCATATTGTAATAAAAAAAATCATATAATTTTATAACAATTCTACTACACTATTTAACAATATTTATTTTTTATTATATAATAAAATAATAATTAAATATTATATGGTGAACAACAATAAGTAAAACTGTTACTTTCTCTTATATCAAAGGATAAATTTATATGCTAAAATTAAATTTTTATTAGTATAAATGTTTTAGTGAGATAATATATTAATTATTTTACAAGCTAGCTCTAACATGCTCATATTTAATGTTTTAAAAGATGTAGAAAAAAAACTTATAGTAACTCTATTATTTTTTAGACTTAAACGTTGATTAAAAGAGGTAAAAATTCCTAATTTTTTAGACTTAAACGTTGATTAACACCATAGATTGAGAGTTTATATTTAGTAAAATACCTAATTGTAATAAAAAAATTAATTTTTGCTATATTTTAGAATATCTTTAAATTCATTATAAAAAATAAAAAAAAAAACTACAATGAAAAAAGCAAGTCAGCTATATATCGATTTGTTGTACTCCTCAAATCACATTCACAATTTGACTACAAGGAAAGACTCATTGATTAAAATATTATTTTGTCAGTAGTCTTAATGTACAAGAGACTTTAAGACTCCACTTGAATATTATACAACTGTTATTGAACATTGTACAATTTTCTTGCGTATTATAAACTTTTATTGAATATTGCATCTTATAATATAATATTCTTCAAATAAATATATCTCGTGCTTCGCACAGGTCACGTACTATATATCTCCCGTACATTTTTTTTTATTCATGTATATAATTATAAGCCTGGATAAATAGCCTTAAAATTGTGCACCCTGTGCATCGCACGGGCTCTGTACTAGTTAAGATAAAAGAAAAATGAAATCTAGC